TTCAAATATTTATCGCAAAGCTTATAATAATAGTATTATTATTATTATTTAACAATTGAAATGTTTGATTGAAACGTCATTGTTATTATTATTACGTAACGATCGATTTATATTATTATTATTATTAAAAAAAAAGAGAGGAAAAAGTTTAGTTTAAAAACGATGTAAAAAAAAAAATTTTCCTTTTTTTTTTTTTTTAATTGTCTTTGCTTAATTAAATAAATAAATCGATGAGAGTAAAATAGTGATGATGATGATGATGGAGACGTTAAAAAAGATAACAAAAGAAAAGAAGGGAAAGAGACAAAAAAAAATTTTTTTTTTTTACTTAAAAGCTAAAAAAAAAAAAACTTTTAAGAAAATTTTAGAATAAAAAAAAAATCTGAATAACTAAAATTTTTAATCTTCTTTATTTTTTTTTTATCCTGTAACAACTTTCGTTTCGACTTAAAAAAAAAAAATGAAGGATTAAATCTCATTCAACGATTACAAAAAAAAAAAAAAAAAAAAGCTCATTACCGTCGTTTTTTATTGTGCGAAAATAAAAAAAAAAGATGGCGACGGCGGTGACGATAATATTTTTATTTTTTTAAATTGGTATCACGTGTTTTTATTATTTTCCCCAACTAAATTATTCGAATTTAAAACAATTACTCGTGATGATAATAATAATACGTAAAAAAAAATACAACCTCAAACCCACCTCCACCCCCCATAACCCCCCCTTCGATTTGTTTTTAAATAAAAAATTTCAAAAAAAAAAAAAAAAAATGGCGCGTAAATTTTTTCAAAAATGAATATAATTAAATTTAATTAAAGTTTTTTTTTTTTTAAATAAATTTAATTTTAAGCTGTGATAAGGTAATTAATGATAACGCAGAGGAAGAGAGAGAGAGAAAGAGAGAGAAAAAAAATTTATCAACCGTATAAAACGTGCGTAACATTAAAAAAAAAAAAAATGGCGGCGTGACGTTGTAAATCTCCACGTCGCGTTTTATTAAAAAAAAAGGTAAAAGGAAAAGTAAAAGGGGAAAATCAATGGAAAATTGTATTTATATATTTATATTTAAAAGGTTTTTTGTAAAAAAGTTATTTTAATACCTTGAGTTTTTACCTGTCACTCGTGATTAATTATTCGTTTTAAATTATCGTGACGTCATTCTATTAATTAACAATAATTACGTAAGACAGTAATCCTGAGTTTGTTTGAGTTTGTTTTTATTATAAAAAACTTTTTGTTTTTTTTTTAAAATCCCACGACCCGAATTTAATCGTTGAGAATATAATTTTTGACATTCGATATTAAAATTTGTTTTTATTTTATTTTACTAATACTAATACTAATAATAATAATAATAATAATAACGTTCATTCACGTAAACTTTTGTTGTTGTTTTTGTTTGTTGTTGTAATGACGGCTGACGAAGAAATGCGTGAATTAAACAATTTTTTTTAAGAGGAGAGTAAATTTTTTCCCTTTTATTTTTTTTTGTTTACACTATAATAATACCTGTGATGATAATAATAATAAAAATAAAATTGATTAAGTTTTATTACCGCTGAAGGGAAGGGGGAGGGGGAGGGGAAGGAAATTCTTACGGAAGAGCCGGGAAAGGAAACAAAAGGATGGAAATTGATTTACTGCACGACGATGAGTTATAAACATATTGTTGTTGTTGTTATAAATAAATAAATAATTAGGTAAACATTTTGATAAAACATAATATCACGTCGTGGTAAAAGACAACTCGTGTGACGTCATTGTTTTTAATGGAAAAATTATTTAACCGCCATTTTGAAAAAAAAAAAAAAAATTTTTTTTTGTATTAAATAAATTATCGTTTCCGTTTTTTTTTTTTTTTTTTTCGTTTTTCCTAGTCGTCGCCATCATTATCATCATCATCATCATCATTATCATCATCATCATTATTATCATTATTATCATCATCATAATCGTAATAAATAAAAAAAATTTTTTTTTGCTAAATTTCTGGATAAAGTTTTTTTAGTTTTTTTTTTAAAAAAAAAAAAATTAATGTCTTTCAATCTTTGCATCCGTTCATTAAAAAAAAAAAATGTTTGTTTGTTTGTTTGTTCGTTCGTTTGTTTTGTTTTCCGTCAGTTTTGTTAAATAATTTTCCATAAATTTTACTGTCGTAAAAAGCTTTCTTTTAAATTAAACCTAAAAAAAAAATTCGTTCAGAAAATGTTTTTTTTTTTTAAATGTATTCCATTTATTATTATTATTATTATTATTATTATTATTATTATTATTATTATTATTATTATTATTATTATTATTATTATTATTATTGTTGTTGTTGTTGTTGTTGTTGTTGTTTTTTTTTTTTTTTTTTTTTTTTTTTTAATGTAAAATAACCGAAATAAAATAAAAAATAAAAAAAAATAAAGAATTTTTTTCGCGAATCGTGAATGAAATAGGTTAACGACCTTTAACCCCCTTCCCTCTCATTTTTCCATATTTACACAAACGGGAAAACAAAAAAAAAATTAATAATAATAATAATAATAATGATGATGATGATAATAATAACATAGGAAACGTACAGGTGGGTCTCCAGAAAAGAAAAAAAAAGAAAAAAATAAAAATTACAATTTTCCAAAAGGATTTTCTTTTTCTTTTTTTTATTTTTTCCTCTTATTTTCTCGAAAGAAATTATAATAATAATAATAATAATAATATTCACGTGGGCGGATATTTAAAAAAGAAGAGGAAAAGGAAGAGGGGAAGGGGAGAGAAAGGGAGAAAGAGAAAAATTTAAATTTAAAACGTGAGTTTTAAAAGATTTTCTTTTGTGCATTTCGAACAAGGAAAATTTTGACGGAGGTAAACCGAGGTGTAATTGATTTTCTAAACAACTTTATTCTCTAGTGCCTCCTGTCTGCCCGCCTCCTTCCCCGTTCCTGCTCGAACCTGCCCTTCTGCTTCATTATTACCGGAAACTTTTCTTCCCACCCCCGCTCCTCTCCCCCCGAATCCCCCGATCATTCTTTCTCTCTCTCTCTTTCACCTTCATTTCATTTTGCGTTTTCGCATCTAATATTCTCAGTCGGTGCTGACGCATTTAGGTAATCTTTAAATCTAAATTATATTGAATTTCTGACAGATTTTACGGACGCCGTCGCACCGCCGTTTCGCCCCCCGCCCCCCCCCCCACCGCCGAACCGACTCCCCGTTTATTAATTTTTAATATATATAAATGTGTTTGTCGTCGATGTGATGATGATTTTTATTTAAAATTATTTTTTTTATTTTTTTAATTTTTATTTTCAACGTACATATATTAAAAACCGTTTCCGGTTTTTTTTTTCGACCGAGTGAAGAACTTCCTTTTCCGGTTTTCTTTTTTTTTAACTACAATTTTTTTTTTTTTTTTTGAAAAACATGAAAATATTTTGTTTGCATCTCATCAAAAAATTTATTAAATTTTATTTTCCTTTTTTTTTTTTTTTTTTTTTTTTTTTGAAAAAGAGAGATTCTTGTTTCATTTCGTCACAGATATAACAACAACAACAACCACAACCTCGAGGGTTTGTGGTTGTTGTTGTTGTTGTTGTCGTTTTCAAAAATTACTCGTCGTCTACAAAAATCAAGTTTTTTCATCTTAAATATTTTTTTTTTTGGAATAAAAATAGAAATTGTTTTATTTTACACAAGGTTAAAGGTCGTACTAGAGAAAAATTTTTCAAAAATTAATATAATATTAATTCTCTCTCTATCTCTCTCTTTAAAACTCATTTTTTTTCCTTCCCCTCCCCTCTTATTTTGATAACATATAAAAAAAAAAAGAAAAAAAGTTTCGAATCGATAAATTTGTTATAAATTAAATCGATAGATGGCATTATCGTCGCTTAAACGCACGACAGAAAAAAAAATTTTCTTTTTTTTTTTACTTATGAAGAAAAGGTAAATGTGGAGAAAAGAGAGAGAAAGAGAGAGAGAGCAAAAGAGAGGGAGAGAGAGTGTAGAAAAGAGAGAACGAGAGATGTAAAAACTTAGGGAAAGAAATATAGAGAGATAGGAAGAAGGAAAAGAGAGACAGGAAAAGAGAAAAGGAAAAAGAGTGAGAGAGAGAGAGAGATAGGAATGCAAAGAGAAAAAAGAAAAAATCAAGAGCAATTTGCGGATTAAATTTGTTATAGCAATTAATGTAATTTGTTAAAATATAATAAGGATTTCCTTTTTCTTTCCTTTTTTTGCGACTAAAGAAATTGTATACTATATTGCTATACTATATGTTTACTATAATTATCTTGGGTAATTTTTCGTTTAAACCCCCCCCCCCTTGAATGTAATTAGAAATACGAAATTTAATGTTAAAAACATGGAAAACCAAGTTTTGGAGGATCCATTTATATAATGAAAAAATTTTATTCTCATCAAAAAAAAAAAAAAAAGAAAAAGGAAACTTTTCCTTTTAACTTTAATAACTTTGACGCGAAGTTTTTTTTTTTTCCTTTTTTCCTTTTTTATTTTATTTAAGTTTTTTTTTTGTTTTTATATTCATTTCAAGGAGGTAAAAGTGTCAAAAAATTAACGTTTTTTTTTTCAAAAGTAAACTTTTTGGTTAGGTGTCAGTTTACAACAAGTTTAAAAGTAAAAATAAAAAAATAAAAAATAACGTGGAAGTAGAAAAAAGGAAAGGAAAATGTCAAGGAAATTGTAATGATGATGATTTTTAGTGAAAATTTTAGGGGAATTAAAAAAAAAAAATTTTGAAAATACGATAAATATTTTGATATTAAATAATGATTTAAATTGGGGGGGGGGAATTTTAATTTTTTATATTAAGGTTAAAACCTTTTTTGAAAAAGGTTTTTACTTCGATAGGATGGATGAGTATCGGTTTTCACGTTATGATTTACGAAAAAGTTTTTTTTTAAAAAAAATTATTTATTTACCTTTATTAAAGTTTGACGTCATCATCTCCTTCATCATCGTGCGAGGATGGATTATCATTTTTTTGAATTACCGAATGTCAAATATCTCCTGATTCTGTCGTGTCACCAACATAACCTTCATCGGGACTTTCCGTTAAAACAGCCTGAGTTTTCCTTACCGGAGGTAATTGAGCATTTGAATTAGTTTCTTTTGATAATGTTTGCTGTTGTTGTTGCTGTTGTTTTTGTTGTTCGTCTGTTTTGTTTTTTGTAATGTTTTTCACTGTCGTCGCGCACTTTGAACTCATCGAACACTGTTGTTGTTGTTGTTGCATTATCCCGTCAGCGTTTATATCTGTAGCGCGGGATTGTTGTGCATTTACACACTGCCACTGATTGTTCGCATCGCACGGGGGTATCATCGAAATACCATCAGTCTTATACGCGGCAGGTGGTGAAGGTATAAAAGTTCCCTCACATTCAGAAGGCGAATAATTAGAAGGTGGTGGTGGTTGTGGTTGTTGTTGTTGTTGATGACACGGATAACCTTCTAATGTGTATCTCACGTTACTCGGATTGTAATCGTAAGGATTGGAATGCGATGATGATAAAAATTCTGCTTCCCTGCTTGCAAATTTCAAATGTGGATTCGCGGCCGAAAATTTAGCGGATCTTTTATTCGGGAGTGTCCTGTAATAATTTATTTGTTGATCCGGAGTCGGAAGGGATACCATTAATGGGACTTTAGGAAGTCCGTAATCCACCGGATAACCGTCTCCGTCGAAAAACCTACCGGGGGAAAGATGAATGTCTGCCGTGTAATGCTGCTTAATAAATAAGTCGCAATTCCCCCTTGTCTGAATGTATCTCGAGGCATCCGCATACGGACTAGACATGAGAGAAAGATTTTGTCCTCCATCGATTTGCGATTCTCCGATTTGAAATTTATTACCCGCACTTTCCGTGCCGTTAATTAAATCCGGATTTTGATCCGTTAAAAAAACGTTTTGGGGAATGTACACGCCCGACGTAATGGATTGAGATTCGTTTTCATTCGAACCCCCGATGTTGGGTATAAAAACAGATACGTTTGATTGTCCCGACATGACGACCGTGCCATTAGATTTACCCGTCGTTTCCGTCGGACTCGTTATAATTTCATTTCGCAATAAGGGTTTTTGATTTTGCGAAGCCATTTCTTTACTCCTTTCCTTCTTTCTCTTTTTTCTCCTCTGTCTCCGGCATCGTATTAATAGAAATGCTAAAATAACGAGTATAATAAAACAAAAAACTGTTAAAACGGAGAAAATTGCTATAAGATACTCTCGGGAAAAAACAATGAGTCCCACAACGGGTTCTTCTTTAACTATTATTCTTATTGTGTAGTTAGAAAGGGATTTTCCAGCTGGATTTTCAGCCGCGCAAACAAACGTTCCATTGTCATCCGGATTCGTGTTAAATATAAATAATTCGCTACGTTTTTCCTCTCTTCCTTCTTCGACGAAATAATAAAAATGAAATCCTGGAGCTAAAGTCGTATCATTTTGCAATATTCTCCCTTGAAACCACCAGGAAACACTCGCTTCGGGAATTGCCGACACTCTGCATAATAAAGATATATTTTTACCCTCGGCTATTTCTAAATAAAGCGTCGTCGGTGACACGTCGGGGAGACAAGCCAAATCTCCGACTTCTAAATTTCTAATGGGTTCTCCGACCAAACGCTCCGGACCAGCGCATTTAGGCTCGGTCGAATGTATTATTTTGTAATTTAATAACCAGTTGTGTACTTCGAGGAGACGGCAATCGCACTGCCAAGGATTTCTATCCAAAGCGACTCCGTGAACGGCATCCGGAAGTATGTTTTCACCTCGTATGAAATTCAAACGATTACCATCGAGTTTCAACCATTCGAGATTGTCCAAACCTAAAAAAGTACCATCTTCGATGGATTCGATTTGACAATTGCTTAATTCAAGCGATGTTAAAAAGGATAAAGGTCGAAATGATGCCGTTTGTAGAGCCCTGATGGGATTTCCGCTCACAATTAATCGCATTAATGATGGATAATCGACAAAAGTTTCCGTCGGTACCGTGTTTAGAAAATTTAATGATAAATCCAATTCTACCAAGTTAGTCAAACCTCTGAAAGCTCTGTCATCAATTTGTAAAATTTTACAACGTGACAAATAAATTCTTTGGAGGTTTAACAAACCCATCCTTTCGAATCTTTCACGTGGTAAAAGCTTTAAATTGTTTCCGGAAAATTCCAAAACTTGAGTTCCCGCATCGATACCGTTTGGAATTGTTATCAAACCCTTATCGGGACATTCCACCGTTTGTTTTCCACCTTTCCATTTACAAGCGCAATCCGATGGACATGACACGACTTGCAAAGGCATTAACATGCACAATTCGATTGCGATAAAAATAAACTTTGACGTTTTCCAATTCGGAAATGATGATGAAATAACCGCCATGTTGTTTGATTACTGTTTTCTTTTTTCCCCCTTATTTTCTCTTTCTCTCTCTCTTAATTTTTTTTCATAAAAAATCTTTAAAATTTATCGTTAAAAATTTATTTAAAAATTTTTTTATATTCCAAAACGTCATCATCCAAAAAAAAAATGTCGTCGACATTCTAATCCGATCTGAAACAAACAAACAAACAAAAAAATTATTATTATTATTATTTATTATAAAAAATAAAGTTCAAATTCACGAGTAATTAATTACGAAACGGATTATTATCATTATTATTTTGTGTCGGAGTCTAACCGACCGAAGGTTTGTTTTTTTTTTTTTTTTTATTTCGATGGTAAAATATGCTAATGCCACGTTCAAAAAATTTTATTACTCTTCGTGATTTATAAACGGAAATCGGTCGATTAATTGTGTGCTCAGATGAGCAGGTGTCGTTGAGAAAAAAAAAGAGAAAATTTTGTTGTTTTTTTTTTTTTTGTAAATTATAAAATTTATTTGACCTATGACCCTTTGATAAAAAATTTTTCTATCAATCGGTATTAATAATAAATAAATATTTTCTTTTCTTTTTTTCACTTTGAGTTGTTATTAATTTATTAAAAGGATAAAATGGTGGATGAAAATATTAAAACGAATGAAAACATTGATGCCAACCGAAAAAATAAAATAAAGTATATATATAAAATTTTTTTTTTTTCATTACAAAAAAATAAAATTTGAAAAAACATAGAAAGAGAGAGAGTGAGAGAGAGAGAGAGAAAGAAAACATAAAATAGTATTTTTACGATTGCAAAAATTTTCTTATATTTTTTTTTTCTTGTGTGTGTGTGTGGTTTGAGCCAATTTCGTTTTTAAATTATATTTATGAGGGGTTAAAATTGAATTTTTTCTTTTTGACGGTTGAAAAGAGAGAGAGAGGGGGGGGGAAAGTAAATTTTTTATAAAAATTATTATTATTATTTTTTTTTTTTTTCGTAACAATTTCGAATATAAAAAAATTAAATTATGTAAGATGGAAAAGGGTCGTATTAGGAAATAAAAAAAAAGTAAAATGAAGAAAATTTTTTTTTTTTTGGAAAATTTACATTTATTTAAAACTTAGAAAAAAAAATTATTAATATTTACCGACAACAACAAAAAAGAAATTAATAATTTATTTATTCGTTTTAAATGAATAAAATTATTGAAAAGAAACAAATAAAAAAATAAAAATAAAAAAATTTCCGTGTAAAACGATGTTTGATAAATATAACAAATGATGATGCATCCATTAATTTATTATTATTATTATCATCATTAGTAAAATATCCTATCTCGACCCCCCACTCTTTATCCTCCTCGTTAAAATCAAAAACTCTGATAGGGTTTTGACTCGACGAAAAAGAAAAAAAAAATAAAATAAAAAATTCGATTCGGTAAAAGTTTTATTTTTATTTACAAATAAATAAATAAATAAAAAATAAACAAAAACAAATTTTCGTTAACGGCAATTTGGCAACGTTGGTTACAAAAAAAAACAAAAAACAAATTTTCTTTTTATTTTTTTTTTTGATTGGTTATTTTTTTTCTTTTTCTTTTTCGATTGGTTAATTTTTTTTTATTTATTTTTTTATTGGTTATTTTTTTTCTTTTTCTTTGATTGGTCAATTCCATTATTACGTCATCAGGAGACAATAACGTAAGCGATATGGTATGCGGTCGCTGTGGTGGTGTGAGTGAAAATAAAAAATCACAGAGTAAGAAAACGTTTTCTTTTGTTTATTTTAAATATTATTTATCGAGCGTTTATATTGAAAAGTTATAATGAAAATTCATGCCGCCATTTTTAAAAAAAAATTTTCGTGCTCAAATTTAAAGAAAATAAAAGAAAGGGATAAAGAGAAAAAAGAAACGGAAAAAAATATGTCGAAAAAATTATCTTTTTTTTTTTAAAAAGAAAGTTATTACGTTTTTATTATTCATAAATTTTTTTTCTGTTTAATTCTTTTTTTGAGAGAAAAAAAAAAAAAAAACGGAATATATTCGGAAAATTTTTTTTTTATCGTTTTCGACGGGAACCAATTTTTTTTTTTTTTTCATTTTTTTTTTTTAACTAATGGTGTCAAAGGAAAAATCACGCGGAATATTTTTTTTTTCTTGTGAATGCATGAAAAAACTTTTTTGCTTTTGGAAAAGTCAAAAAAAAAGAAAAAAATTTTAATGATCAAAAAATACATAACCGCCAGAAAGCTTTTTTTTTCCTCTCTTTTTTTTCTTTTCTTTTTTTTGGGGGCAATTATTATTATTATTATTTTTTTTTTGTTACGTCAGCCATGTCTTTTTTTTTCTTTTTAACAAAAAAAAAAAAAAAATGTTGAAAATGACCTCGAATAACAAAGTAAAAAAATTAAAAATAAAATAAAATAAAATAAAAAAATTTCGAGATGGAGAAATGCCACGTACACGCTTTCTCTCTCTCTCTCACTCACACAAAAACGAATTTTTTTGTCTTTCCGTTTCCGGATTTCTTCCTCCTTCCCTTCTCTCCCTACCTCCCACGTAAAAAAAGACTTCGAAATAAATATGTTATAAATATAAAAAAAAATTTTTTTTTTAAAAAAAAAAAAAAAAAAAAAAACAGGAAAAGCAAATCAATGATGAAATTCACGTTCGTTTCCGCTTTCATGTAAATTTTGTTTTATAAAAATGACACCAGATGTCGTCCTCATTTTTTCCTTTTTTTAACGGAAAATCAGTAAAAATTTTTTTTTTAAAGGAAAAAGACAAATTTTCCAAAAAAAAAAAGCAACGATTCGAAAATAATATTTATATATAAATAAAAAAAAATTTTTTATAGTCTGCTAATTTTCAAAACAAATTAAAATAATAATAATAATAATAAATGTTAATAAATTTCGAGTTCGTTATTTATTTAAAAGAATTTTTTTTTTTTTGAAACTTTGCGTTCGTTCTCTCTCCCTCTCTCCTTTACTCCCCCGTTTTAAATAAATATTTTATATTACAAAAAAAAACGTTAACAATAATTTTTGGTTTTTAAGTTTAATTTATAATAATAATAATAATAATAAACCTGAAAAGATATTATTAAAAGGTGATATAAATCAAAATAAAGCTTAGAGAAGGAATATTATGATGACAAGTTGACGAATAAAAACAAACATAAACGATAATAAGTGTAAACAATTTAGAGCCACGTTCGTTCGTTCGTTTTTTTTTATTTTTATTGCAGCGGCGTTCTCACGCACGCACTCACGCACTCACAGAACACAAAAGTAATTTACGACGTTAACATTTTACACATTTTTTTTTTATTTTTATTATTTTCTTTTTAAATACTACTACCACTACCACCACCACCACTACTACAACTGATGCTGTTACGTGTTATTTATTTAAGCATTTTTCAACCTCTTTTTCTTTATATCAACCCCTAAGGAGACAAATTCTAATAAAAAAAAAAAAAACTTTTTACTAAAAAAAAAAAAAAAAATAAGGGAAAAGTTGTTTAAATTTCATTTAGAGTCGGAGATACAAGAAAAAAATTTCACTTAAAAAAATAAAAAAAAAGGAAAACTTTTTTTTTTTTTTCCTTTTTCTTTTGCTCCTAATCAGATTTTTTTTCTTAAACAACAGCAACAGCAGCAACAAAAACAACAGGAATTGGAAATAAGGGTAGCAGGAAAATAGGTGGCAGTGAAAAAAAAAAATTTAATAATATTATTTTATCGCATATTTTTCTTTAAAAAAAATGGTAATGATAATAATAATAATGATGATGAGAGAAATAATAATAATAATAATAATAATAATAATAATAATAATAATAATAATAATAATATTAATGATAAACTTTAGTTTTTTTTTTTTTTACATAATCCAAACAAAAAAAAGTTATGAAGGGTTACGTACCCCGGGGATACTGAAATGTAGGTTTTACTCTCACGAACGTCCCCCCTTTTTCATTATAGAGCCTCGCATAAGCGTGCATGCTCAGGAGTTTTTGTGGATAGAGGTCCCCAGGTAGGTTTACTTTCTCTGCGCCGAGCCTCATCCTCCCCCTCTCGCTTTAGTTGGCGAGTACGGAGGGAATCATGCGTAAGTGCATTTCTCTTGGGTGAACAAAAAAAAAAATGGTGATGCAGTCCTGTAATCCAATCACTTGGAGGCTAGAGAATGTTTTGGGGGCGAGGGTTGACTGGGCGTCTCCTAGGGGTAAACCTTCAACTTGGACGCCTTGCATCGAGGTAGCCAGGTTGAGTCTGAAAAGGGGAAATATCGGCCCAAAAGTCACCGAGTTGAGAGTTCAATTTCAACCCGTTCAAGCAAGACCTGTATTTAAATAAAGGAATAAGTGACCCAGTTAGCACTCTTCGAGGCATTGGGGGTGCGTTGACCCTTGTTCCATGAATGTGAGTCTGGGTACTTGATTCAAATGAAATAAAACATCAAAATTGGTCAAAATGGAGGCAGGAACGATAGTAACAGATCGGGATTGTCTCTCGAAGGACAAAAGAGGGTCCCACTTTCACGAGTGCGGACCTAATGGTCCTGGTTCAGAAGGGGGTCGAGGCTAAAATGCCATTTCCCGAGTTAACAAAAAAAAAAAACTAAAATAATTATTAAAATTTTATTTAAGTTTATGTAATAAACGCGATCAACGGTGGTCGTTTAAAAAAAAAAAGGGAAAAAAATGGGGAGAAATAAGGGGAGAATGATGGCGATGGTGGTGGTGGTGGTGATGGCGACGTTAGAAAATATATATTAAATTTTTTTACTTTTTACATTAACAAAGCACGTATACGAAAAAGAAAAAAAAAAGAATTTATTTTATTTTATTTTTTTGTATATAATAAAACTCAATGAAATTCAATTAGAATCACAAAACAGAAAATTAAATTGCTTTTGTTAAAATAAAATGGAAAAGTTTAAAAGTTTGTTTGGCTAATTTACAACCACACTTTATGGCCAAAAGATATAATTGTATTGAAGTTTTTTA